GGGACTGTTGAGGACTGAGCCCTGATGGAATGTACTGGGGGGGATGCGCTGATGGGCTCTGCTTTTGTGGGGCTGCTGTGGCCCCAGAGTCGCCCAGTTTTGCCCCAGTATCTCCATCCTCTCATGGGTGCTTGGGGAATGGACAGCCTGGGCTGATCTGCATGCATGAAGGGTGATGTCCTGAGGGCACCTGAGGGGATGCAGGAAACCCCTGGCTGCTTGCTTCCCATCCGGAATTCCCTGGGAGCACAAGATGCGCAGGGGGCATCCCAGTGGGGTGGGGGTCTGTGCTGCCCACCCCAGCAGAGGGGCTTGGAGGGGATCCCCAACCTCTCCTTGTCAGCTAGGAGGACACAAAACAACCTCTCCCAGGTCACACTGATCCCCTCCATGCCCCATTAAGGGCCTCATGCTCAGTGAGCCCATTCCCACTGCATGCCTCAGTTTCCCCCTTCAAGGCAGGAGCAAAGCTCTGGGCCCCCTGCATGTCCCTGTTGTGCCACAGCACCACGCTGTGGCCATGCTGGGGTTTGGGGGTTCACCTGACAGCATCCCCCCACACACACACACACTGCTGGGTACTCACCTGCGCACCTGGGCCTTGCAGACGGGACGGGTGGACAAGAACCACCCGCTGGTGACGGGGCACACGGCGCCCGTGCTGGACATCGACTGGTGCCCCCACAACGACAACGTCATCGCCAGCGCCTCGGAGGACACCACCGTCATGGTGAGGGGCAGAGCCGGGTGGGAGGGGGGTGTCGGGCACAGGGGGAGCCGTGCAGGGCATCGCCCCCCCCCATCCCGTTGCCTGCGAAGTGTCCCTGGGCTATTTTTAGCCGCGGTGCCATGCGTTCACGCTGGCGGCGGCTGCTCTCTCCATGATGCAGCACTTTGTGCTAAATATACCCGCATGGGCGACTCAGCACCCAGGAATAGCTGGGGGGGGGGGGGGGGTACTGGGGGTGCACCCCTTTCCCTGTGCCCATCAGCACCCCAAGTGCGAGGGATGCACCCCAGGATGGAGGCGCTGCTGTTGTCCCCTTGCCACCCTCCTGCAGCCTGAGCCGGGATTAAGGATGAGGTTAATTGGCTCCGAGGCCCTCAGCCGCTTAGTGCTCAGGCGTGGGGTGATCCCCATCATCCCACACGCCGCTGCCCGTGTTCCCCCCCCCCCACTTCAAGGTGTGGCAGATCCCTGACTACGTCCCCATGCGCAACATCACGGAGCCGGTGGTGACGCTGGAGGGACACTCCAAGCGGGTGAGCATCATCTCGTGGCATCCCATCGCCCGCAACGTGCTGCTCAGCGCAGGTAAAAGGGGGTCCCCAGGTCACCTCCCCGGGGTTTAGAGGGGGTTCTGTGGGGTGATGTTGTCTACCCCACTGGTCCTCCACAGGCTGCGACAACCTGGTGATCCTGTGGAACGTGGGCACGGGGGAGATGCTGCTGGCGCTGGATGACATGCACACCGACCTCATCTACAACGTGGGCTGGAACCACAACGGCAGCCTCCTCGTCACCACCTGCAAGGACAAGAAGGTCCGAATCATTGACCCCCGCAAGCAGCAGGTTGTGGCGGTGAGTGTCCCCAATGTGTCCCCCCCCACCAGCCTGCCGCGGGGCCCCCCCCCAGTGCCTGCCTGACCCTACTAACCCCCTGCACCGCGCGTCTCTGTGTTTGGTTTTAACCCGCTAACGGCCGGCGCAGGAGAAAGACAAACCCCACGACGGCGTCCGCCCCATCCGCGCCATCTTCATGGCCGATGGCAAGATCTTCACCACCGGCTTCAGCAAGATGAGTGAGCGGCAGCTGGCCCTCTGGGACCTGGTATGAGACAGCGGCTCCTGCCTGGCCAGCACCGCTCTGGGGACACTGTGGAGCTCTGCCAAGCTGGGGATGCACCGGGTGTTAGGGATGCTCTGGGTACCAGTGATGCTCCAGCTACCAGAGATGCACTGGGTACCAGAGATGCACTGGGTACCACGGATGCACTGGGTACCACGGATGCACTGGGTACCACGGATGCACTGGGTACCAGAGATATGCTGGGTACCAGGGATGCTCTCCAGCAGCACATGCACTTCAGGAGCTTCATGCACTCCCCAGCAGCAGGACTCATCATCTCTTCAAGGGGACAGATCCGGACCCCCTCCCATTTTCCCCCCATCCCGTGCTCCATGCTGACTCTCTCCCCCCTTCCCCCAGGAGAGGTTTGCCCCCCACGAAGGGCTGAGGCCCGTGCGGGCCATCTTCACGCGGGAAGGACACATCTTTACCACGGGCTTTACCAGAATGAGCCAGCGGGAGCTGGGCTTGTGGGACCCGGTAACGAGGCCGCATGGAGTGCTGCCCCCGGAACTTGCCCCCCCCAAACCTCTGCCCCCTTCCCTGCCCCGGGGTGGGGTGCCTGCTGCATCCCCCTCATAAAGATGCCAAGTTCCCAAGTGTGCTGTGCTGTGCTGGGGATGGGGGAACAAGGAGTGCTGGGGGGGGTGTGGGAGCACAAGGCTGGGGTGCACCCAGTCATGCAGGTGAGTAGGAGCAGGGCAGGGTGTGCTGGGTGGGGGGCATGACAAGGTGTGTGCCCGGGGGGTTGTGTACCGGGTAGGGGACAAGCCCTGTCCCTGCAGAGTGCTGTGCCTAGTGTGTGACTAACCACGGCCAGGGGTTTGGGGACCACCACTCACCCCCCACTGCCCCGGCCCCACAGAACAACTTTGAGGAGCCGATCGCCCTGCAGGAGATGGACACAAGCAACGGGGTCCTGCTGCCTTTCTATGACGCTGACTCCAGCATCGTCTACCTCTGTGGCAAGGTAAAACCCCTGCTGGGGTGCACCCCTTGATGCCACCCGTGTCTGTGGGGGTGCCAGGGCTGGCTGACCGCCGTCCCCACACCCGCAGGGTGACAGCAGCATCCGGTACTTCGAGATCACGGATGAGGCGCCCTACGTGCACTACCTGAACACCTACAGCAGCAAGGAGCCGCAGCGGGGCATGGGCTTCATGCCCAAGCGTGGGCTGGACGTCAGCAAGTGTGAGATCGCCAGGTAAGAGCTTGGGGGAGGCTCAGGGGACCAGGAGGGGCCACAAAGGGGTGGCTGGACCCTGAGTGCCTCTGCCCCACGCAGGTTCTTCAAGCTGCACGAGCGCAAGTGCGAGCCCATCGTCATGACGGTGCCGCGCAAGGTGAGTCCGTTGGGTCCCAGGGGAGATGGGGGGGGGTAAAGAGGGGACATCTTGTCTCATTGCAGTCTGCCTCGCCCCGCAGTCAGACCTCTTCCAGGATGACCTGTATCCCGACACGCCGGGCCCGGAGCCGGCGCTGGAGGCGGATGAGTGGCTGTCCGGGAAGGATGCTGAGCCCATCCTCATCTCGCTGCGGGATGGGTACGTCCCCATCAAGAACCGCGAGCTGAAGGTGGTCAAGAAGAACATCCTGGACAACAAACCCCCCCCCGGCCCCCGCCGCAGCCACTCCGGTTGTGACCCCAACGTCTCTGTGAGTGTCCTGGGGACGGGGACGTTGCGGCAGGGCTCTCCCCTGCCTGCAGTGGGGTGTGGGGGGGGATTGGAAGGGGCTCCCCGGTGACCCTGTGTGTGTCCCCCAGCAGCAGCCAGCCTTGCAGGAGGTGCTGGAGGAGATCCGTGCCCTGAAGGAGACGGTCCAAGCGCACGAGAAGCGCATCTCCGACCTGGAGAACAAACTCGGCCAGTTCACCAACGGCACGGACTAATGCGGTGGCCACGGCCAGGACTGCCCCGGCCCCCCCGGGGATTAAAGCCGAGTCCCCGCAGAGGGCAGGAGCCCAGAGCCGTGTTCTTTCCCCAGGAGCCGAGGCTGCAGGGAGGGGATCAGACCCTGGAACCCCCCCCCCCCAGTGGCATCAGTCACATCCTGCTCCGATGGTGTCCTGGCACCCGAGGGGGTCCCACTTCAGTGCCCCCAGGCTGGGGCTGCTGAGCATCCCTCCTCAGGGACCTGCAAGCCGGATGCCAGCATCCTCCCAGCACAGGGAGCTGTTGGACCCCCCCCATGGCCAGGATGTGCTTGGGTACAGGTGCTACATCCCCCTCCATCACCCCCTTTGCTTCCCCCTGCCCCATTGCCCCCTCGGCGGCTGCTCCCACCCGGCTCTTTGCTCCTGGGTCCCCCTTTAATAAAGGGCTCAGCCACCCATGGCTGTGTGGCGGGTACCAGGGACATGGGGCTGCCATGCTGAAGGGGGGGGGGGGGTCCCTGCCTGCACCCCCCTGCCCTGGGGCAGGCACAGAGAGGCCGAGAGAGACAAACGTTAAAGAGCATTTATTGGTGTTGGCCGCGGTCGGAGCTGCTCGGGCTCCCCCGGCCCTGGCCCAGATGTCGCTTGTGGGGTGCATGGGGTGGAGGGGGGGGCACCGGCTGTGAAAAGTCCCAGGGGAGCGAGCCCGCCCCCCCCCCCCCCCCCGTTGCCCCCAGCCCCTCATGTGCAAAGGAGGAGCAGCCCGGGGCAGGGGGGGCCGGGGGTTAGCACCATTGACATAAGGTTTCCTTCGGGATCAGTGCCCGGGATGAGGGGGTGCAGCGCTGCCAAGGGGGGGGGCATCCGAGCAGGGCAGGTGTGATGCAAGCAGGGGGTTAAGGGGGGTGACAGCGGGTGGCCTTTTACAGGCACCCCCTTGGCTGCCCCAGTGGACCCCCGCTCCGGGGTGGGGGTCCCCACACTGGCTGTGGGGTGCAATGGGGCTGAGCCCCTCCCATGGCAGGCAGAGCAGCTCCCGGGTAAGTGCACTTGGTAGCGCCTGGGCTGAGGGGGCTCGGGGGGGGCTGGGCAGAGCCCCCCCAGCTCTAGGGGACAGCCCGGGACCCCACACACCTGGCAGACCCCCATCTGGGGCAGGATGTGCCCCCCACCGCCTCCCTAGGGTGAGGGGCCGAGCAGCACCCCACAGTGCGGTTGGGGGTCCCAGGGGTGAGTACAGTCTGTAGGGTTGCCCCCCCCCGGTCCCCGCCACCCATCCCCACCCCATCCTGCTGTGGGGTGCCCCCCCTTCACCCCACCTATAGGGATGATCTCCCCCACACCAAGGCCAAATCCTGCACCCCCCCCCTCTCCCCGCTTGCAGTGCTCGGGCTGCCTGCCCCCACCCCGCTCCCCCTCTGTGCCCCCACGCACGGCACCGCCCGCATCCCCATCCCCATAGGGATGGAGGTGGGGGGGGGGGGGGGTCAGTGGGGATGCGGGGTCACTTCTCCGTCAGCGAGAGCTGCAGGATCCGCTGCAGATCCTCCTCCTCCTGGCGCGTCCGGCGCTCGGCCTCCTCCTGCTCCCGCGCCGACAGCGCCATGGCCAAGCGCAACTGCTCCGCGTAGCTGGGGAACAGGGGGCTGGGTCCCCGGCCCCCCCCCGGCGCTGGGGCAGCGGGGGGCCGGGGCGCTGCTGTGTGCTGGGGAGTCCTGGGGGGTTGGCAGGGTCTCAATGGGGGTCCCTGCGGAGCCAGCACCCGCTCCCCCGGGGGGGGGCTGGCTGGACCTTACCAACCTGTCTCCCCGGCGGCCCTCGTGGGACATGGGGTGGGTGCCTGGCTTGCTGTTGGTTAGCGCCTCCCAAATGGTCACCTACGGATGGTGGCGGGGGGGGGGGGGGGGGCAGAGGGTGGCACCCGTTTTGCCCTGAGCACCCCAAAATATAGCTCCATGGGTGCTGACCCATCACCTTGCGGTGCAGGGATGGGGCAAGGTGGGATGAGCCTCCCGCAGCAGCATCCGGATGGGGTGGGCAATGGGAGGTGAAGGGGGGGGGGTGTCAGCACCCACCTGGTCATACTCACTGCCCGCCTCCAGCAGGCTCTGCTGGATGGCGAACTGCAGCAGATCATCCTCATCCTCCCGCAGGGCGTCCTGGTGCGTCCCCACCACGCTGTACCCCCGCGGCACCTCGAACAGGGCCGGGTCCATCTCACACACGCGGCATGAGGCTACGAGAGACAGGCACCGAAAGGCTGGGTACCCCTCCGTGTCCCCCCTCCCTACCCCAGCACCCGTGTCCCCCCTGAACCCCACGTACTCAGGGAGCTGGAGCTGCTGACACTGGAAGAGTCGCTGCTGGGTGAAGGGGCCTCGCTGCTGGGGCTGTGCCGCAGGGAGCTGACGGGCTCGTCGCACCCATTGAGGTTCCCAAAGGTGATGCGGGCGTTGAGGATGTGGAAGATAGGGATTTCTGTGGGAAATGGGATAAAAAGCAGGCAGGGAATCCGGCTGCATCACCTGTACCCCTAAAGACCCCCCCCTCCTCGTACCGATCTTGACGGGGAAGCCGGGCGGGAGGCGCAGGGTGATGAAGTCCCGGAGCTTGGCGAAGAGCGCGTTGCTTATTGCCATGAGGTCAATGATGGGGGCAACCTGCTCGCAGAGGGACAGCGGGTGGTCCTCACACAGCCACAGCTTCGCCTTGAACCTGCCGGGGACAGGCGCCGGGCTGGGGACCCCCTGCCTGCCCCCCCATGGGGGGCTCTGCAGCGGGCAAGGAGATTGGGGGGGGGGGGGGGAAGGACAGGGGGGTCCCCAATCTGCTCCTTCCCCCCTCACTTCTGTGTCTTGGTGGTGAGCTCCATGGGCCGCCCCATGTCCCGGTTGCCCAGCTCGAAGTTGGGGTTGAAGTACTCCTCCGGGGTGATGGCGGTGGGGTTGGCGTGGCTCAGTGTCTGCGTGATCAGCGTCTATGGGACGGCCCAGGGGGGTGAGGGGGTGTCCAAGTGTGGGGACACCCCCCAGACCCATGGGACGCTCACCCCGTTGTTGGGCCCCACGTGCTGCTCGGCGATGCCCAGGAAGGACTGCAGAGGGGTCTTGCTGCCTATGGGACATGAGGGGGTGAGGGCTAGAGCGGGCACGGTGTTCTGCCCACCCAGCCCGTGCCGGCTCCACCTTTGCTCTTGCCCTTGTGCTGGTCCGAGAGGTGCTCGGTCCGTGTCCGCGTGATCAGCTCCACATTGGATGCGCCGTAGACCTGGATGAGGAGAGGGGAATGGCTGATGTGGATACCCCCCAACCCACAACCAGCCATATCCCTTCAGGCAGCTCAACCCCTGCCCCTCACCTTGGCCTCGTACCCATTCACCATTTCAGTCTTCTCACTCCTCCAGCCCAGAATGCCAGACTTGTTCCTTGGGGGGACACAACAGTGAGCGATGGATGGTCTCGCTCATCCAGCCTCTGCGGGGCTGCGCATCCCTAGGGACGGACGGGCCCGATGCTGCCCCCAGCCCACCTCTCGAAGGCGATGTTCTTGGTGTCGAGCTGCGTGGTGACGACGGGGGCCGTGAGCCGCCCCATCACCTGCTCCTCGGTGGGCTGCACAGCAGCCAGCAGCACCTCCTGGTCGTGCCCGGCCAGGGCCAGCGTCTCCGAGTACACCACCCGCCGGTCGTGGTCGATCTCCATCACCACCGCGCTGGTGTCTGCAGGGAGCAGGGTCAGGACAACCACGACACCCGCGCTCCGCAGTGCTGCTCCCCATTGAGGGCACCGGGGGGGGGATCCTGCTGCGGTCTCACCTTGCCCCCTAAAGACGAAGCTGCGGTTGCCCCGCTGCCAGGTCATATGGTCAAAGCCCAGCAGCGTCGTGTCCACCCGCAGGTTCTGGCCGCTCTTCCACACCTTGTAGGTGTCGCTGGGGCAGATCTTGGACACCAGCGGCACTGGGGAGAGACAGTGATAGCCCAGCCAGGGATGGGGCCAACCTGCACCCCGAGTGGGCTGACAGCACTGAGCTGGGGGGGGATGCATCTGGGGACAGGGGTCTGCAAGCTTGGAATGCATGGGGAGAGGGGGGACAGTGTCCACCATCCTGGGGATGGGGATGGTGTTGGGGCTGCGGGACTCCCGCTCTGACCCCAGCAACGCTCTACCCCAAGCTTACCCCAGCTGGTGAATTCCCACTTCATCTCCACATAGAAGTCCTGGGCCTGCCGAGAGCCCAATGGGGTCAGGAGGAACCTGTGGCCAGTATCCCCCTGCCCGCCATCCCACCCTACTATTCCCATGGGATGGAGGGATGGGGATACCTTGCGCAGCTTCTCCAGCAGGATGGGGATCCCAGCCAGGCGTTTGATGGCTCTCTGGTAGTCACGGTAGCGCAGGACCAACTGCACCAGCTCCAGGTCCCGTGTGCTCACAGCCTCCTGTAGGACTGCAGGGCACAGAAGGGCAGTTGCCCAGGGCTGTGGCACGGCAGAGGTGGCCACATGCATGCACCACCATGCGAGCTGTCCCTTGGGGAGCTGCACCATCAAATGTGCCCATACCCATGCCCATGCCAGGGCAGGTTGATGGAGGACCAAGGCTCACCCGTCCAGCCGCTGCGGTTCTCCTTGCCCACGTCAGCACCATGCTTCAGCAGCACCCTGGCACACTCGAGGTGGCCCAGCGTGGTGGCCAGGTGCAGTGGGGTGCGTCCTCGGGGGTCCAGCTGCTCAATGTCAGTCTGCCAGGAGGGAATGGGCCTCAGGGACCATCCGGGGTGGCCAGACCTTGCCCTCCAATGCAGATGTGAAGCTCCCGCAAGCAGCCAGCATCCGATGGCATCTCAGCGAGCATCCTCTCAGCTCCCCCAGGAGATGCACCCCAAAAGGCTCTCCCTGCTCCTCAGACCCATGGGGAGAGTGCAGTGGTGCTGCCAGCCCCCAGCACAGCCCAGCACGGTCAGGCCAGGCTCTACCCACCCATATGGGCATGGAGCAGGGGCATGGCATTGGGGCGCAGGGATGCCACCGGCGCGGCGCATGGGGCTCTGCATGGCTTGATGCAGCTGCAAGCTTGGGGAAAGCCCCCACCTCTGTGGTTTGGATGCAAGGGGGGGTGCTGCTGCCCAGTTGCCAGGCAGCACCCCCTGGCAGCCCCCCTCTGCCGAGGCCCGGAGCGTGGCTGCGGCGGGCGCACGTGTTCCCTTGCAGGAGCCGCGGGCGGCTGCGTGAGCACAGCGACTGCTCCGAGGATCCCCGGCCCCGGGGAGCCGCACGCTGGGGCTGCCATTGTTTGTGCCAAGCCCAGAGCCGGGCACCCGGCCAGGCCTGAGGAATCCCTCGCGGGTGGGGGGTGGTGGTGGTGGTGATGGGCACCCCGAGAACCTGTGTGGGGTGCAGCATCGCACCCACACCCCAGGCTGGGGATACGGCGCAGGGGATGATGGAGCGGCAGCGGGGGACCAGGTTCTGCCCCCCAGTACCTTGCGCCTGGAGAGCGGTAGCTGCGTGCAGCCAGGGGAGAGGGCAGTGGGATGGACCCCGAATCAAGGCATGGGTTTCGGGGAGGACAAAGCTGGGCTGCAGGACCCAAAGGTGCCAAGTGGAACCAGGCACCCCAGAGGTGTCTGGGGCTGGGCAGGGTTGGGGTGTGGGCTCTCTAAACCCAGGCTCCTGCCCGCAGCAAGTCCCTGCCTCGCTCTTGGGCACATCCTGCATTCCCTCTGCCCCAGGGAGTCCCCATCCCTGCTCAGGGACATCCCCATGCCCCTCACCCCCAGGGGCTCACCATGAAGGGGAACCCCCACCAGGCTGCCCACACCACTGGAGCAAAACAGCCCCCAGCTCTCCAGGAGCCAACGTGCTGCTCCACCGCTCTCCAGGCGACTGCCGCTGCTTAATTGCGCTAATGAAATGACTCTCATTAAAGCAATCGCCCCCCAGCTGGGGGACGGGTGCTGCAGGCTCAGTGGGGCTCCCCAGCTGCAGCCTTGCCCCAGTGCCAAGCGGGATCAGGGTCCCCGCTCCGGGGATGCGGCACAGGAGCCACCCCCGGGGGACACGGCATGACCCAGTTTTTACCAGCAAGAGCTCGGTCCTGGGCCTGGTGCTGGGACAGCTCCAGCTCAAGGGGCTGCAGCACAGAGCTCGGAGCGCTGCCCCTCCTGGGGCTGTGCCACCCACCGGGGATGGGGACAGGGATGGCCCTGGGGTGGCAGCGGTGCAGCCCTGGCTGCTCCTCCCGCGCCAGGCAGGATGTGGCACAGAGCATCCCCTGTGCCGGGCTTCTCCCCAGGGTGGGGGACCCCAGCGTCTGCTCCCGGGTGGCATCAGGGGACACGGGCCAGCACGGGGAGGTGGTGCTGGGCGCTGCTGTCCCTGTGCAGCCCTGGGTCCCGGCCATGTGCGACAGGGCAGGCTGTGGTGTGGGATGTCCTGGTACAATGGGCTCTGTGTCACTGCCTGCCACCTCCTTGTGCTGCCTCTGACAGGGGGACCCGCTGGCCCTCACTCCCCAGGTGGAGGCAAGCGTGGACAGGAGCTCATGGCGACAATTCAGGGGTGACCCACAGAGGGCCCTTACGGGGACATGAAGAGGAGCAATGCTGCCAGCTGCCCCAGCACTTCCCATCCCCAAACGCCTGCATGTGTACTGAGCCGTGTCCCTGGATGCCCTGGATAGGGATGGGGGGCTCAGCTTGGGCTCGCCCCAAACCCCCACCTGCCCTGGGGTCTGGCCTGCAGCACCCATGGGTGCACACAGAGCCGGCTTTGCTTTCACCCTGCAAATGGCAGCAGGGACCATGTCAGAGCCCCTCCAGAGCCAGGCGCAGGGTGTGTTGGAAACCCTCCCTGCATCCCCAGCATCTCCTGAGCCGCCGCCGCCGCCTGCACCCAGCTTTGATCTGCACCACACCGAGCTCCTGGGAAAAACGACCCCAAATCACCACGGGAATAAACGTGCCGGCGACGGGGCGATGCCGGCGCATCCATCCCGGCTGGCCCCCACAATGGAGGCGGGTGTGGCGGGAGCCATCGCCTGCATCCCGGCGGGAGCATCGTGGTACAGCAGCCCCCTGGTTTGTGCATCAGCGGGGTCCATCCGGCGCGGCCCTCAGCACCCTGGGGTGCCGGGAGCCCGGCCGAGGGAGCGGGGATGCTGGTCACAGCCTCACCACCAGCCTCCCTCCAGCGCCTGCGGTTTCCTGCGTCTTCGGGGTTGGGTTTTAATTACCTGAATTGCAACGCCACGGGGGAGAAGGGAGGCTGGGAACCCGCCTGGGGACGTGCTCCACCACCCGCCGGCTGGGGGCCTCCCGGGATGGGGGACACCGGGGGTCCCCCACGCTGAGAAGACCCCGACTGGCCGTTTGGGGTTGGGGTCTGCACCCCATAGCAGCATCAGGGCCCTGTGTCTCTCCCCACAGGGGGCTCAGCCGGCGGGTGGGGAGCTGGGGGGTAGCAGCGGGGCTGTGAGCACCCCAAGAAGTGGGGTGCAGGTCGGGGTGCAGGGTCCGCAGAGGCCTAGCAGCGGACACGTGGGAAGGGATGCTTGGGGCTGCATGCGCCGGGGGATGCAGGGGACCGGCGGGTGGTACCCACTGCTCCGCGCTGGCCCCGGGAGCAGCCGGCACAGTCCCGGGGTGCTGGGGGACACACGGCACCCCCAGAGCCCTGCCAGCCGCGAGAGGGACCCCATCATTATCAGCACCACCACCATCTCCATCCTCATCCCAGCCCCGAGCAGGAGCCCGGCTGCAGCCCGGCAGCATTGCATCAGCTGAACCGATCAGAACCGGGCCGTGCCCGGGGGTACCCCCCTTACCCCCCCACTCCCCCACCTGCTTGGCGCTGAGCTCCCGGTCCAGGTCGCGGGCGCGGTTGTGCCAGACGAGGTAGTGCAGCGGGTACCTGCCCTCCGGCCCCTTCCTGCCTGAGCAAGACGCGAGCATCCTCCGTGCATGCTGGAGCGGCGCGGCGGGCGCGGCGCGGGGCGGAGCGGGGCGCGGGGGGGCGCGGGGCGGGGAGGAACCGGCACCTCCCGCACGGTGCTTCCCCCGCGCCCCCTCCCGCACCGCCCGGCCTCATGGGACTTGTAGTCACCCTGCCCGGCATCGCCCCCTTCCTCATCCTCCTCTTTCTTCCTCGGCCCCTGCCCAAACCCCGCGTCGCGCAGCCCATCACCGCGGCCTCCGACCCTGCGGGGTAGGGGGGGGGGGATGGCTGCAAAGTGTCACCCGCTGACCCTCAGGGCCCCCCAACATCCTCTCTCCACGCTGATTTCCCCCCTCCCACTTCCCCCATGCTGGCCCTGGGCACATGGCAGGGCAGGGGTGAAGGCGGTGGCGAGGGGGGGGGAGGTCCGAGCCCCCCCCCCAAGTGCCGGGCAGCGGCCGCCGGGGGCCCCCAGCCCGGTTTCCTTTTCCGCCTGCGTTTCTCCCGGGCGGGCGTCGTGTTTTCCGGCTGCTGGCCGAGAACAATGCGAGGCTGGGCCTCAGCCACTGCCTCAGCCTCCTGCCCGGCCCCCGACCCGCTGCCCCCCTCCCCGCCGTGGGGCTGAACCCCCTCGTTATTCCCCATTCAGCCACACTGAACGCGGTGGTGCTGGCGGTGGTGGTGGTCGCATCCCCCTGCCCCGGTCCCCGCACAGCATCCCGCATGTCCCCGCTGTCCCATGACGTCATGGGCCATCCCCTCGGTGAGGTCACCCGTTGTACAGCCTGACCCACGGTGCTGGGGGGCAGGATCCGGCTCCGGGCCTTTGGATCTTGCATGGGGTGGGTGCAATGCAGGGGTCTGACCCCCACAGCTGCCTGCACAACGGGGCTTAAAGGATGCCGGGGGGGGGCACCCACCCTGCACATCCACATCCACAGCGCAGTGTCCTGCCTGCACTGCTGGGGCAGGAAGGAACCCCGTGTCCTGCACCCCACAACGTGACCGTGCTTGCCTGCACTGCACCCCATAGTGCGCCTGGTGATGGGATGCACAGGAGTGGGGTGCACAGCGCCAGAGTGCCAGGATTAGGGGTGTCCAGGCTGGGGGTGGGTGCAAGACAAGTGCCAGAGCCAGTGCTGAGGGGGCTGAAGCAGGACATGGGACAACAGGGAGGTGCCCAGAGCTCGGACTGGGGTGTGCAGGACCTGGGCTGGGAGCAGGACAAGGACCACAGGGGTGCCCCGGACCTGGAGCCGGTGGGCGAGATGAACAGGACCTGGGCTGGGACCACGACCGGGACAGTGCTTTGGGTTGAGAACGGGACCAGGAGGGCGCTGACCACGGAGTGGGGGGGGCAGGACCAGGGGGTGCCCAGGAGCAGGCGGGGTGCTCAGGGCTGGAACCAGAACCGGGCTGGGAAGTGCCCAGGACCCGATCTGGGACACCGGGACCAGGACCAGGGTTGTGCCGGTGCCTGGGCGCCGGCGGTGCGGGTACGGGTACGGGTAAGGGGTGCGGGTACAGGTACGGGTGCGAGTACGGGTGCGGGTACGGGTGCGGGTGCGGGTACGGGTGCGGGTACGGGTGCGAGTACGGGTGCGGTACGGGTGCGGGTACGGGTACGGGTGCGGTACGGGTGCGGGTACGGGTGCGGGTGCGGGTGCGGGTGCGGGTACGGGTACGGGTGCGGGTGCGGGTACGGGTACGGGTGCGAGTACGGGTACGGGTAGGGGTGCGGTACGGGTAAGGGGTACGGGTACGGGTGCGGGTAGGGGTGAGGGTACGGGTAGGGATGAGGGTACGGGTACGGGTAAGGGGTGCGGGTACGGGTGCGGGTGCGGGTACGGGTACGGGTAGGGGTGCGGTACGGGTAAGGGGTACGGGTACGGGTGCGGGTAGGGGTGAGGGTACGGGTAGGGATGAGGGTACGGGTACGGGTAAGGGGTGCGGGTACGGGTAGGGGTGCGGGTACGGGTACGGGTAGGGGTGCGGCTGCGGGCGCAGGTGCCGGTGCGGGGCGGTCGCGGCGGCGCTGCCGGTGCGGGGCGGGGGCGGTGCGGCCCCTCCTCCGCCGGGGCCGGGCCTGCGCCGCTTCCTGCGGAGCCGCCGGGCGCAGGGAGCAGCCGGTAGCCCCCGGCGTGCCGCGGCCCCGGGCCCCCGCCGCCCCCCGCCCCAGCCCCGCCGCAAGGCTCTTCCCCCCCCCCCCTTCCCTCCCCTTCCCCCGTTCCTCCCCCCGGCGGGCCCGGGGGTGCCGCCGCCGCCGCCCCACGCTGGCGCAGAGGCCCGGGCCCGGGCCCGCCTCGCCGCTGAGGATGTCCCGGAAGGCGCCGCGGGCGGAGGTGTGCGCAGACTGCAGCGCACCAGGTAAGGACCGGCCCCCGCGGCACCCCCCGGTGCGCCCCATCCGCCGCCAGACACCCCCCCCCCCCCGAAGAGCCTGCCTCGCACTGCCCGGTTCGGCCCCCCTGCACCCCGCCGTGCCCCCGGGCACCCGCTCTGCATCCCCCGGGATGCGCCCACGGAGCCCTTCTTGCATCTCCTTCTGCTCCCCAATGTGAGGCCCCTGCGTGCCCCCAGGACCCCCCCACGGTCACCCCAATGCACCCTGCAGTGCAAACCCCAGGGACCCCCCTGCATCCTGCTTCGCCACCCAGGAACCCTCTGATGCAACGCTTTAGTGCACCCCCTTTTGCCTCCTCCAGGAATCTCGCGGTACACCCCAAACGTGACCCCGATTCCCCCCTGAGCACCCAGTGTGCCCCCACTGCACCCACCACCCCCATGCACCACCCGCAGCCTTTGCACCCTCAGCACGGGGGCTGCTGGCGCAGGCTGGGGATGTGCCAGTGGGTGCCAGCAGCACGGAGGACACTGCAAATGGTGGGATGGAGAGGGAGGGATACCCCACAGCACCCCACAGCCAGCACCCACACCGGCTGGATCCGTTCTTGGCGGTGGCGGCCGCGCTGCAAGCCGGAGCCTGAGCCTGGGCAAGACGATTCGCATCCCCGATGGTGCCAGTGCCCACAGCCCCCACATCAGGCACCAGCCCATGGGTGCTGCAGTGGGGCTGGACCCCGTAAACCCTGCCCACAGTGGGGCCGGACCCCCCAAACCCTGCCCATGGCCACCACGGGTGTCCCCATGGCAATGAATGAACGGGGCCGGGAGCGGAGGCTCTCGCTTCGAGCCGGCCCCGGGAAGCTGCCCGCGGGCCAAGGCTGTGCCGAAATTATTCCGGCCACGTGCCAATGGCCGCATCCTGCCAGGAAAAGCCGGCGGCACGCGTGGGTACGGGGGTGCCCTGCCTCCGGCACGTCCCCCATGCGGGGGGCACAGGGGTGCCTGGGGCGGTGCCAGAGCGGGGCCGGGGGGGGGGGGGGAATGGAAACCCGTTTCTTTCCAATCTCTTATCGCCTGGCAGCCATGTGAGGAAATGAGTTATAAAGTCCAGAGGCCGCTTCCTACCGCGCCGGGGATGTGCTGCCCGGCCCTGTGTGATGGGCTGGCTCTGGGGTGTCCTGATCCCTTGGCTGAATCCCGGCCAGCCCCAGCCCCCTGCTCACCATCGCTGGGCTGAGTGCTGGGGGTCCCGGGGCAGGGATGGAGGTGCTGCTGTTCCCTGAAGCTCCATGATCCTCCCAGGATTTGGGGTGCCCCAGTGCCAGCGCTCCCCGAGCTGCTGCAGTCCCACCCGCATCCCACCGCACCCCGTCCGCCCCTGCGGAGCTTGGGGTGCTGCCCCGGGGTACCCGAGATCAGCGGGGTCGGCTCCCCCCGCTCGGAGCGTCCTGTTCCCGTGGGCAGCGGGCGCCAAGGCGCAGATGCTGCCGCGCCGGCTGCCAAGGCGCTGCCATCTGTGTGCACAGGGCTGCCAGGCTCCCCCCCAGACACCCCACCTCGGCCCCAGGGCACTGCAGCACTGCGTGACCCCAAACCGCGTCCACAGGGGATGAGGAGGGGGGATTTGCGACCCCATTGTTTCTGGTCAGTGCTGCCACCCCCCTGCTCCTCACCCTTTGAGGCACCAGCTCTGCGTTTCCCTGGTGGCAGGGAGTGGGTTTGGTGTGCCTGTTGGTGCCCACCCCACCATGGAAATGGGGTGACCCCCACACACCCCAGCTCAAGGGCACCCTTCCAGGCTGACCCCCCCCATCCCTGAGGCGTCCCGGCACCTCAACAGAGATCCATCGCATTGAGAACAGGGGCTTGGGGCTCCCCCCATCTGCGTGGAGGTGTTTGTGTAGGCCCCACAGAAACAAGGGGTGCTGGGGCTGGCAGAGGCTGCTGGGGTTCCCTGCAGCACCCAGGGACAGTTCAGCATCATCCATGGGAAGGGACTGTGACGCAGCTGAGGGTCCCGAAATCCTGCCCTCAGTGATGTTGGGAGCAGTTGCAGCCTCACAACCCCCCCCATGGGGCTGGATCTCCCCCCGGCCCAGCCCCAGGACTCGTTTTTGGGGTGCGTGCGTGGGGAGCTGCCGCGAGCGGGGCCCCCGTGGGTGCCAGGGCTGGTGCCAGCGTGGGGCCGGCGCGGCGGCTCAAACAGCCCTTTGTTCCCAGCGGGACACAAAGGGCTCCAGTCTGGCCGGGCCAGGGACAACGGTTGGGAATGGAGGGGGGGGGCTGGCAGTGGTGGGGGGACATGGCACCTGCCCCCAAAGGCGGGGTGCCCTGTGGGGCTGGTTTGGGGTGGTGGGGCTGCAGAGCTGGTGACCACCATGGGCGGGAGGCCATGGGCTGGGGGTGCCCCTCATTGAGGGGCATATTCCCCCCTATCCAGGGCTCCCCCAAATGCCCAGTTGGGGACCGAGGGGGTGCACAGCCTCACTGGGTGCTGCCGTGACTCAGGGTGCCACTGCTTGGGGTGCTCTGCCGTGGAGCTGGCATCATCCCTGCCATCAGCTGCCCTCATGGTGGGGGAGGCCAAATCCTGCCCCCCCTTTGGCGGGTGCTGGTTGCTATGGGAAACCTGTGGGTTTCCCCTGGTGATGGGCTGAGCCCCTCACTGTCACCGGGGAAACCGTCGCTATGGCAACGCATCCCCCCCAGCAGCAGTGGGGTGGATGGGGAGGGGG